AGACTTTACCAAATTCATTTATCAATTCCAGGAGTTTCTTGGTTGAATCCTTGGGGTTTTCTAAATATTGTATCATATATTTGGCAAACAGTGAAAGTTTGATCTCTTCTGCCACAATCTGGATACCTTTAATTCCTCTTTCTTGTCTGATTGCTATAGCCAGGACTTCCAGCACTATGTTAAATAGAAGTGGAGACAGTGGGCAGCCTTGCCTGGTTCCGGTTCTAAGTGAGAATGCTTTCAATTTTCCCCCATTCAGTATGATGTTGGCTATGGGTCTATGATATTCAATTGGATAATATTCTCTGAAGGATTTTTATAATTTTTTATGAGGGATATTAGTTTATAATTTCCTCTTCCTGTGATGTCGTTACCAGGTTGTGAAATTAAAGGTTATATCTTGACAACATAAAATGCGATGGAAATTGTTTCCTCCACCATTTTCTCAGAGAGTTTGTGTAAGATAGGCTTTAGTCCTCTTTAAATAATTCATAGAATTCACCAGTGAAGCCATCAGGTCCTGGAGTTTTCTTTGTGGTTAGGTTTTTAAATTTGTTTGGCTCTATTTTATTTGTTAATTGGATGGTTTGAACGGGAGAATGTATTATTTATTAATGCCTGCTTAGACCACTGCTGGCTATTGTACAAAATTAATAAATAGAATTTACATTCTCAGATTACCATTTAAGTTTTTAATAGAAAATTTAATTGTTCACTGATTCAGGGATAAGTTCCCTGTCTTATTGTCTTTTTGATAAGTTACATTTTTATGTAATGTGTCTATTTTATATAAGTTGTAGAATATGTTGGCATACTGTTGTAATTATCACTTTTTATCTTTTTCATATCTCTAGTAAACCTATCTTTTATTTTTGATATTTATGATTTGTTGAGTTTTTAGTCAATAAAAAATAGGTATCTCTTTTTATATTTCAATAAGTCTAGTTTTGGGGCTATCAATTTGTTGATCTTTTCTTTCCAAAGAATCAGCATTGGGCTTTGATACTTTGCTTTCTTTTTTCTTTCTTATGTCATTGGCTTCTGTTCTTACCTTCATTATTTTCTTCTTTCTATTTACATTATTTTCTTCTTTCTAGTTATATTAGGCACACAATTCTTTTCATTTTCTAACTTCTTGAGTTACAAACTTAGGTCATTAAATGTAGACATTTATTCTTTTCATGTATGTACATTTAATACTCTACTTTTCCCTCTTGGCAGACATTTAGTCACAATTTTGATATATTTTCCTTTCTATTTTATTTAACATAGTTTCTAAACTCCCTATGGTTTCTTCTTTGGCCCATATAGTATTTAAAGTTGGTCACTTAACTGCCAAATATTTGGGATTTTTATTCTTATTTATTTCCCATTGAAGTCCATTGATAGAATATATTCTGTATGAAAGAAATCTATTGATTTATGGAGACAGCTTTATGTCAAGGATGTGATCAATCTTAGTGAACACATGTGCATTTGACAAGTGTGTATTCCACAGTAGTTCAGTACAGTGTTCTAGAAATAACAATTAGGTCAACGTGGTTGATGGTATTGTTACAATTATATGTGCCTTTATCATTCATTTTCTCTAGTTGCCTATCAGTTTCTGAGTAAGGGAAAAGATTAGCTTTTCACTAAAGAATATTCATAACTTGAAACTATGTAATCATATTTATTTATATTATATGCTGTGTTTTGCATTTCCTAAAATGCATATGTATATATCTGTATTAGTACATATAATTTAGGTAATATTTATGACAGAATTATTAAAGAAAACCAACTTATTTTTATCAAAAAGGAAAACATGCCTAGGTTTTATTTACATTATTTTTTCTTTCTCAGCTATATACACTTTTGGAAAATCCAGCTGGTTGGTCATAAAACCAAGAATCTCAATAGGTGGTACTGAGAAATGACCAACTTATGTATTGTAACATCAATATAGCAAAACAAAATGAAGCGATGGTAACAAAATACACTCTCTATTCATTTTCTTCTCAAATATATGAGCTTCTATGATTTTTAATAAATACTCCATACTGAAGGTCTTTATTATGATCCCAAAATAACTGACAATATGTGTTTTACTCAGGATCTTTCCTTATTTTATAACAACTGAAGTCACCACACTCTGGACATGTTTTATGTGAGTCAATAGTTGCTTAATTTAAAGTGTTATTCTTCATTATTAATATATGACAGGAACCATAATACATTAAATGGTCTCTTTATGACCACATAAAATTTCTTCTACTTGAAGATATTTACTTATATACTGCCTAATTAAATCATTTTAAAACATGACAAATTAGGAGAGCATTCCAGTGCCTTTGTTCTTCCTCTTTTACTTTTAATAGTAGGGGTAAAAGGTTACTTTGAAATTCTGTTTCAGACTTATGGCATCCTTGTTATATATTAGGTGTTTTTATTTTATGTCTCTTTGGGAATGATGTAGCAGGGCTTGTCCTCTGGGTAAAAAGAAACTATTGAGTTGGCCTTGGCTATAAATTGGTACCACTGGGTAGACAACTACTTAAATTATTATATTATTTTTCACAAGTAGCTGTACTCTGAAGTACTTCCCATTCATCAACCTAATGGCTCAGTGGGTATCTCCTGCAGCCTTTATTGTCTGGGTCAGTTAGCTCTGGAGGTTAGAGTGGTGATTGTGAGGGCCAGGCATGTGGTTTTAATCTCTGTATGGCGCAGTTAGTTTCTCAGTTAGGAAAAAGCCTTGTGCACAACAATGACCTGCACCTCTAACCTTTCAGTCTTGTAGCTGTACATTAAAGGTTGTAAAAGTGACATGTCATGGGAATGTAGATGGTACAGTGCAATTGATCATCACTACTAGGCAGATAAAACTAGGCAAATGTTCTCTTCACTAGGTATTTACTTCGTCCTTAAATGGGGGAGCATACACATGATTTAAAGCTATATATATGCTTGTACTTAAATGAATTGTTTTTTTTATTAAACCCCAAATATTAACTCAATAGCTTTATTAAATTTGGAATATGAGAAGATAAAGTAGATCAATGCCTGGACTTTGGGATCTTTTTAAAGCTCACGGTGTACCATATCCAAAGCCCCTAGAGATGGATCTTACTAGGCTCAGAAAGGCCTTCAAACTAATCTGAAACCACCACTTTTTCCAATATTCAGTAATCACTCATTATATTTGCCCTTTATCCCTAGGTGCATTTGTTGTTAGCCTTGTTTGTTTTGGATTGACAACCCAGTTCTTATCTGTCTAGGCTGCTGAGTCCTGTACATCCCCAAATAATCTCCGATCGGTCTAGTCCTTGCACTTTTGCTAAATGACCCACGCTTCTGGGACATGCACCATGGCAGCATCACTCTCTGCCTCCATTATGACAGGAAGGAGATTGGGTCCTTAAATGTCTTTCTCCATCCATTCAGTCAAACATACATGCTGACCAACTGCTTTCTCCAAAGTGATATAAAAACTGGAAAAAGCAAAAATGAACTGCTTTAAGAAACTTGCCATTAGGGTATCGAAAATAAGAAGTGGACATAATTTTAATTCAAGAAAGACCATGGACCCTAAAACAGCAGGAATGAAAAACGGTATAGTTAGCGCCGTGGGAATACTTCAAATCCTGAGCTGTGCTAAATGTTGAGCTTCCTTGTCTTGAAATTCATTCTCCTCAATGCAGTTAGTAAAAATGGAATAAAACTTGAAGGTTGATAAAATTGTATTTAAGTTTTCCCTTGCCCCTTCTATTGTAGTTATGTGATATGAGTTCAGTTGTTTAGCTTCTCTGAAGTTCAATTTCCTCACCCATAGAGCGAATGAAACCACATGTTTACAAGAGTGTTGCAAGAAGTTAATAATAATGTATATAAAAATAAGCACACTTTATCTTAAACAAGTAGATGTTCAGTAAATGTTGAATAAATATATGAATAAATAAGTAAACAAGTCGATTAAGCCTTGCTTCTAAAGCAAACTTGGTACAATGGTGCATCACTTAATGACAGGATACATTCTGAGAAAGGTATTACTTGGCAATTTCATTGTTGTGTCAGCATTCAAGAACGTACTTGCACAAACCTAGACAGTGTACCCTGCTGCACAGGTAGGCTACACAGCATGGCCAGTTGCTCCAAGACTACACACCTGCACAGCATGTGACTGTGTGTGCTGAATACTGTAGGCAGCTGTAACACAATGATTAAGTACTTGTATATCTAAACATATCCAAACATAGAAAAGGTATGGGAAAAATATGGAATTATAATCTTATGGGGCCACCATAGATTATACGTGGTCCATTGTTGGCGGAAACATTGTTATGCAACACATGACTACATTTTTTTTGACAGAGTAACACAAGGGTAAGATTATTAAATCATACACAGTCCCTCTTAAAGCATAAAATCCCTTGTATTCTACCTTTTTCTACCTCAATGTAGGCCTTCACCACTCAAGAATGGGCTGCAAGAGTAATGCCCTTCTGTTCACCCCTGCCTCTGCAACTCTCCACAATTCTTACAATCCACCTTCAATATAATTTGCAAGCAAATCTTATTTTTTATCATCCACTTGCTTAAAAACCATCAAAGTTACCAAAGGCCTAATTTTCTTATCATTATCCCTGCTATTCCTCTTTTTCACAAAACAAAAGAAACTCAAAACAACCAACGAAGCTCATTAATTTATAATACATATTCTAAATAACCTTGCATGTAGCACATATAGACAAATGGACTGAAAACACTAATATTTGTTCATTTTTGTCATCAAAATCTGTCTTTATCATTTGCTGAAGCCTACCAGTATTTATCTTTATACATAAACAGTACAGTTATTTCTTTTTTGTTTAACAGAATGGAGATGGAATTGATTTTTCCTTTAGTCTCACATTCTTTACTGCTCCAACAATATATTTCAGCTGCTTAAAATATATATATATATATATATATATATATATATATTTCCAACTATATTTCTGTGGTAGGGGGTTAAAAGGTTGAAAGCATAGCTGTTGTTTTGACACACAGTTTCCTCAGGATATTTTTAGCACTTAAATTCAGATCATAAAATAAGCTAAAATGCCATTTGAGAAAGACAGCGAAGTGGCAGATGCAGTATTTCTTTTGTTCGCTGCTCGCTCCGTGCGCGCAACACCGCAGTGAACATAGAAGACCGCCCAGGATGACCGCACCTGCGGGAAGACAATGGGAAACGTGGGAGCCGTGTCCCTGTCCATGTGCTTTTAACACAATGCCACCCAGACCTACTCGGTCCCCGTGAGAGAGAACATGACATCTGTTGTGTCCTAGTTCCTCTCCACGCCCCGTGTTGTTTCGACCCCTGCTGACGGCCACATGTGTCTTGGCCCTCTGTCACTGTCATCCCACTTTGTGGTGTAACTGCTAAGGACATGTAAGCAATCAGCCTTGAGATAGGTGACTGAAACTGAATGTTTCTCTATGAAAAAGAAGTGCATCTTAGTGCACCCAGAGAAAGAAAATAAATACTGCATGTGATCCTGGTGGGGTGCAGTGAAGTTTTTATTGCCAGGAGTTGGGAACCATCACCCTATTCATCTGTGTCACAGACATGAGTGAGTTAGGAAGTTTTCTGTACTGAACAGCTATAAAAGCTTTCTGCAGTACTACCCCAGTCATCCCAGTTTCATTTATGACAGTTGTTGTCTGTAATTTGTTATGTATTTTTTTTCTTCATTTTTCCTTTTTTTTTTTTTAAAATTGGTAAGAAATACAATGTACAAGCCTTGCCTTCATAATGTGATGATGAGTACATAATTAATTCAGAAGCCCAAGAGTCTGAGGCTGTTTCACATGGTAAGAGTTTGCATAGTATTATGGACACATAAGAGAGGTTTACCCAGTACTGACAGGTATTTGTAAGATGCTCGAGAAACACCTGAAGCTGCTGTAAAAGCCAGCCGCGTTTCCAACTTCACTGCTATCCCACAGCAGCCTTTGGGGAATGTGTGTCTTTGCTGGGTCAAAGAAGATATCGGGTCAGGGATAGGTGCATGACAGAATGATTCTGAATCCTCAAAAAAGATGTGTAGGCAATAAAATTTAGAAAAGTAAAGATAGATAAAGGTTAATGCTCTGATTCTATTTTCATAGTAAATGTACAATAAAAGTACAATAATTAAAAGAGTAGAATGCCATATATTTTGGTTCTAGCCATGATCAAGTATCAGGAATTGGATTTAAACTCCTGTCTAAACAAGTAGAATGCCAAACATAATATGTTAAAAATTGGTTTTCAGTTATTGGAAACAGGCAGCAGAAGACAGTAGTCCTTGAAGGAAGTGAGGTGAGCTCTGTGGCTGACTCAGGTTACTGCCTAGAGAGAATTTCAGGCCCCAGTACAGAGAGCCCATACAGTGCCTGGTCACCTGCCTGAATTCAGAACACAGAACTTATAATTTAGGGAGGACAGGCAGCTAGAAATCACAAGGCAAAATGTTAGAGAAGAGGTAGCTATATAGAGAACTTTGGATATTTGAGGAGGGATCCCCTTCAAATTTCAAATGACTGCTGAACAGTACTCAAGGCTGGGCAAAGGCAGCTAGAAACAAGCAGGTTAAACTATCCCAAGAGCCCACACTGAGCGAGAATAATAGTGTGATCCGTCAGGCAAAGTGAGAGCATGCACTACTGCATGGTATGGCACATTGAGCAGAGTGCTCAGAAAGGTATGACCACAGTACTCTAGCCAATGAGCTCTAGATTAAGGGCTATTCTGTTCCTAGCTAAGCATGTTTAAAAACAAGCCTAGAGAGGATCAACTGATTCCAAGTAACTTAATCTTAGAAAGCAGCTAAAATATAGTAAAAGAGATATGGGGGAAAATACCACCTGACAAGGTAAAATTCACAATGTCAAGCATTTAATGAAAAATTACTAGACGTATAGTTAAACAAAAAATTAAAATAAAAATAAAAATTACCCATTCTCCCATAATAAGGAGAAAAACCAATCAATTGTAACAGACCATTAAATGGCACAGGAAGTAGAACTATTAGACAAGGATATTAAAGAAGCTATTTTGAGTATGTTCCACAGGTTGAAGAAAGTAGAAGAAATTTTTGAGCATGTTGGGGATGGATATGAAATGCAAAAATACATAAAAATTCTGGAGATGAAACATGGAATGTCTGATATAAACATATATTGAGTGAGATTAACAGCATTTTAGACATGCAGAAAAAAGACAAATTAACTTAAAAACATACTTGTAAAAACCATCCAAAGGGAATCCAGTGAGAAAAAAGATTGAAGAGAAAAGGAAGTGAGAACAGTTAAGTTTTCTCTTGGGACATCAGGAAGCTAACAGCATGTATAATCTGAATCTGATAAAAGTAGTATTTGAAGAAATGCAATCACATTTTTTCCAAATTTAATGAAACCTTTAAACACAAAGGGCAAATGTTTCCAATGAACAATAAGCAGAAGAAACCATGAAGAAAACAACGAGGCTGATCATCATCAAATTGTGTAAAATTAATGGGGAAAAAATCATAAAAAGAAGCAGCCTCAGAAGAATCATTAGATGCAAAGAGCAAAATGAAAATAGAACAGGAGACTTCTCATCAAGCTGAGACTTCTCAGCTAGAAGTCCATGGATATCCAAATTAACAATAATATAAGAGGAAAAAAAAAAACTAGAATTCTATGCCCAATAAGGTTGTTTTTAATATAATGGTGAAATAAATGTTTTTGGACACATAAATGCTGAAGAAATTCATCACTAGCAGTCCAACAACAAAATAAATATTACAGCCCTTCAGTCAGAGGAAAATGATTCCAGGTAGAAATATGCATCTATACAAAGGAATATAAGCAAGGGCACTAGAAATAGTAAATATGTGAGTAGTAAGAAAGATACATTTCTTTATTTTAAAAAATTTCTTTAAAAGATAATTAAAATGCCTCAAATTAATAATTAAGCATTCCACTTCAAAAAACTAGAAAGAAGATAACAAAATAAACCCAAAAGAAGTAGAAGGAAGGATATAAGATAAATACCAAGACAATAAAACTGAAAACATAGAAACAGTTTCAAAAACCAATAAAAACCAAAGCCAGATCTTTGAAACTATGTATAAAATTGATAAACGTCTAGCAAGACTGACCAAAAAATAAAAAATAAAAAGACTAGACACAAATTGATAATATCAAGAATCATATAGAGTGGCTATCACTAGAGACCACAGAGGCATTACAAGAATTATAAGGGAATACTACAAATAACTATGTGTATAGAAATTTTATAACTTAAATGAAATGGACCAATCCCTCAACAACTATGCACTGATAAGGAAGAACTATCCCCTGAGACAAACCATCTCAAAATCCAGATGATTTAATTCTACTAAATATTGAAAGAAGAAATAAGAGTTCTACACAACCTCATCCAGAAATGGAAGAGAAATGAATACTTCCCAAATCAATTTATGACACCAGCTTTACTCTGATGCTAAAAACAGAAAAAGACAGTACAGGAAAAGAGAGAAAACCACAGAACAACATACTGCAGAGATGTAGACACAAAATCCTCAGCGAAACATTAACAAATCAAATCCAGGTGTGTACGTATAGATCTGTCCGTCTTTCCATCTACCTAAATAATAATATACCGCTGACAAATCTGATTTCTTTAAAAAATGCCGAACTTGTTCAACATTCAAAAATCAACTCATGTACTTTATTATATTAACAGTCTAGAGAAAAGAAAATCCACATGTATCCATAAACACAGAAAATGCATTTGACAAAGTACTACCTTGATTAAAACTTTTCAGTGGCTTCTGATGGCTCTTCGACTAAAGAATAAATTCTGTCAAACATCCTCTAATTCTGTCAGAGCCATCTTCTGCAATCTCTTGGTCCTGCTCTCTTCCAGCCCCGTGGGAGCCAGGTCTGCTTTCCGAGGGTACACGAGATATATTAAGCTACTTTGTGCTTTGGCTCATCTTCAATAACAATTGCCTCTACGTTGAAAGTTCTTCTACACCTTTCTGTTTCTCCTCATCTTTGGGTTCGGGTCTGTATGTAATTTGATCAGGGAGACTTTCCTGCAAAGGCCGATTTAAGTACATTCTTACTCTTTCATAACTTTTCATACCAATCCATATTTATGATTATATTCACATGATACTTTAAAGTTTGCCTACACATACGTGTATGCGTACCATGCTCTTTCACCTAAATCATATTAGCTATTGGTAAATATTTATTTAATGATTGACTGAATGAATAAATGCCTTCCTTTTTACACCTGCGTGTGACCTGAGTATCAGAGTATTTTGTCAACGCTATTTCATCACTTCTCACCAGGCAGAGTAACACCTGGGAAAAAGTGAGTACATGCTAAAGGAAAGGATCTTCAATCCATTTATTAATATTCTAATAGTTTTATTATTTTAACTCAGTGCTATAATAAAATATATCTATTAGTGTTTGTCGTTTATTTATTAGAGTATGCACTGAATTCCTGTTAGCCAGACCTAAGTGCTAGATCAGTACGTCTGACAGAAGAAAAGCTCCCAGGTGTGTGTAGCACACAGGTGTGAGAGGCTATTTTTATTGTTGTTCTTGTTTATTTTTTTTTAAGAAAGATAATATAATAGCTAAAACCAAAAGCAGTCCTTATTTTCTTCCCCCAAACACCAGCTAATATAAAAGAGCACTATTCACATATAGTTAAAATATTTAAACCATTTAGAAAGGAAATAAATAAAAAGTGAGAGCATCTATCCTCCCTCAACCCTCAGTCATCTCCCTAGAGATAAGCACTATTTTCAAATTCTTATAACTCTTCCTGGAAACAAAATATAAAAATTATATGTATATATTCTTATTTATTTAGAAAAACAGGATGCTAGTTTTTCACCTCTATTTTTAACTGAAATCATAGTTCATAAATTTCCTATATCTGCCCATGCATATCTACCTCATTTTTATGGCAATGCGATGTTACAAATATACCATAATTTATATAACTTCTCTCCTATTGAGTAGCTCTAATTTTCTATTTTTTGTCCATTATAAAAGCATTTTGATAAATATATAATATGGTTTAATTAAGATTTTATCAGTGAGGAATGTCATAGAATGGCATTTAATTCATTCCAAAAGAAAAAATAATAGACACCATAATGTTCAATATCATTCTGATCCTACTACCATGCCATAAAGGAGAGTCTGGTAGTTCAGACACTATTACGGCCCTACGCACTGAAGAACCAGGTCAGTCCTAAGACAACGAGTGAGTAGTTACTGAATCACACTCAGAAAATACTAAGTTTTTAACTGGTTTCTCTTTCTTTGGAGCAAGGATAAGAGTTTTTCCATAAGAATGCCCATTCAAGAAAAAAAAAAAGAGTCAGTATCCCAATGATACATGTGTGGAGAGTGAAAACTATATGCTATTTGTTTTCTTAAGCTTGTACAGGAGTAATGGCAATTTGTTTTGACCAACAATTTGGGGTAAAACTCAGAACTGTCTACTGTCACATCTTTGAGACTATCTGCGTTTGTTATGGAAGGCAGTTGATATAAACTACAGCAGTGGCTTCACTAAAGGTAACATCTTCTGCTTCCAAGGAGCTGTGAGAAACAAAGACAGCCCATGCGATTCATGACACACGAGCACACTGACAAGGAAATGAGAGCGCTCATCTGAAACAGCCCACCAGATGCTGCCATGATGTCCTGTCAATATGGTTCACTTAATCCTGTCAAAGCCTCCCTCACAATATGGTTGTTTTGTCTCGTAATTGTCAAAGATACTTCTGTATTGGCAGGCCCAGCAGGTATCATTTTTGAATTTCTTTCTTTTCATCTTCCTTCAAACTCACATGATCACACAGATTCCGTGAAGGATTGATGAATTAATCAGCGTTAAGTTTCTAATGAGGAGAATACATGTGCCAACTAACCCATTTTGTTGTTTTTTTAAAAAAAAAAAATAATGGGCTGAGCAGACCATGTCTGTAGAAGAAACAGATAGCTGGTCCATTCCTAACACATTGTTGCTCCCCCGACTTAACCTCTGCTTTTTCCTGAGGTCAGTATTATGAGTCACATATCTTGTTTTTGTGTTTTATAACTGAAGATTGTATGACTGACTGGGTTGTGTTTTCTCCTTAAGCCTGCATTATTTCTGACTGAACATTTCTCTAAGTGTTGAAAGTAATGTTCTCTGAAGCTGAAAACTTCAAAGCTCAAAGAAATCAACGTGTGGACGTCACAGAACCGACACAAGACTTAAGCTAGAACAGAGAAGTATCCAACAAACTGCAATTCACCTGAGCCTTGTGATCCTGGAAAAACAGCAAAGGTTAGGAAATCCCTCTATCCTTCGTGTCCTGCTCACCCCTGACAAGGCTAGACACAGGTCCTCGGATTCCCACTCTCTGCCTGCTAGCAGGGAGCTGAACTGCATGTCCTGAACCTCTGGCCCACCCAGCCTAAGCCAGTGTACTCCCCCCCAGAATAGGCTGACTTCAGGGTAAAACATTCTCTCACCTCTCCTCTGATCACACCACCCCTTCCTCTCACGTCCCCACGCCCAGTTCTTTCCATTCTGTTCGCTCCTCTCTCCAAGAGAAAACCCAGATGACAGGATTAGGATGCGCCTCCCCCACGGACAGGGACCAGAACGGTCAGCAGAGTCTTACATTTGAACAGATCATCTGGGAGGGAACGCTTGCATTCACGAGGGAAATGATAGGAAGTGCCGAGAGTGGCTCAGGAGAGGGTTCGGGGCAACTCACCCATTCAGGGAGCGAGAAGAGCTGGGAGAAGCCCCTGGACATGGGGGAAAATAAGAGAGAAGCCCCCTGAGCCCCACACTCTGAGACAGGCTTTTATGATCTTGGCTATATGAGACCTATCCCTACCCCCACCAACTCACGTAGGTATCCAGCCTAAGGTAGGGAGCTGCCTACAGCGGGCACAGAGTCGTTGCTCCAGAAAGAAGATCCACGTGGAATATCTCAGGCGTCCGCGCCAGGGCAGCTTGAGCTAGCCCAGTTACCAGGAACTGTGGCGTGCCTGCAGTGCTCGGGCAGCTCTAAGAAGACAAAGAAGAGCCCAGGTGCTCCCATGCACCCCTGGGAATGTCCCCACCCTGCTACAGGCTGCTGTTGAAACTGACATGTGAGCAGACAGCAGTTTCCACGGTTTCTTGCCTATGTTGCTTGCCTGGGTGGGGCCCCACCCTCTCTGGTCCGAGGCCCAAGGAGTCATTTAGTTTAACACGTGGTTTGTGCCCTGCCCAGGAACCAAGTTTGGGCTGACATGGCTGCAGCTGGCACTCAGCCAGGGAGAGAGAGGGAAAGCAGGCTTTCCAACACATACCTAGGTCAACAACCACCACCTGCAAGGGCTGCTGTGAGACTGAGTCTCCAGAGAACTGCACTCCCCACAGTGTCCTGCCAGCACGGCCTGCCTGGGAAGCGCCCCACCCTCTCTGTCACAGGTCTAAGGTGCAGGTGCCCTGTTGGCAATTTAAAGCTGGGCTGTGCACTGCTCTCAGGATGAGTTTGGGCTGATGCAGTGGCAGCTGCTGCCCAGCTGGGAATGGACAGGAAGGTCCAAGTTCTCCTACGCACACGTAGGACAATTCCCACCACCTGCTACAGGCTCCTGTGAGAAAGAGATGCAAGCAGACTGTACCACCCATGGTTTCTTGCCCATGAGGCTTACCTGAAAGGGACCCTTTCCTCTTTGATTGTAAGCCCATGGCCTTGTCATTTTGAGAGTTTAATGGTGGGCTATGTCCCACGCTTGGGCCAAGTTTAAAATGATGTGGTTGCAGCTGCCACCTGGGCTCCAGCAAGAAGGGACAAGAGAGACCGAGCTCTCCTAAGCTCACTTAGAACAATAACCCAGCACCCTGTCATGGGCAGCTGTGGGGCAAAGATTGGCCCAATCAACTGTGACTACTAGCACACAAACTCAACCACTTGGGTCCCAGTGAGTGGCTCCACCACCACTAGAGCCTCCTCCCACATCAGGCCAGCTGCTCAGGGGCCTGAGAACCTGCCCACACACCCAGCCTTCTGCTCCAACCACTAGCATCTGAGCAAAAACTCCAGTCCTAAAAATTGGCCCTCCAGGACACATCTCCTTGTGTAAGTTGCTCTGGGCCATAAAATGGGCATGCTCAGCCCACTTCTGCTGTGACTGGGGCCAAAGGCTGGCTCAGCTGCCATTCAAACCCCAAGCAAACTTTACCACAGCCTCAACTAATAACTGTACCCTAAGCCACCAAAGAAATCACAGATTCCATTGATGCTGTGTACTGCCTAACAAATCATACAAAGATTACACTACCAAGGGTACCCCAAATCAAAGCCAAACTGCCCTATTCAACCAATTTTCTACACACACACACACACACACACACACACACACACACACACACACACACACACATTTTAAGGATAAAATTCTCTTCTTTGAAAGTGATGTAAAAAATTGAAACAAATGACTATTACACCAGATCTGTGGACATGTAGCTCACTGGAACATAATAGAGAACCCAGAAATAAAACCATATACCTCCAACCAACTGATCTTCAACAATGCAGACAATAACATACACTGAGGAAAGGACATAGTATTCAATAAACGGTGCTGGGAAAAGTGTATAGCTATCTGTATAGCTTAAACTGGATTCCTATCTCTCATCTTATAAAAAAATTAACTAAATGTGGATTAAAAATTTTAAATGTGCCAATGACAAGCTGTTTTAATGACTATAGCCTTGTAATATAGTTTGAAGTCTGGTAAATTGATACCTCCCATTTTGTTTTTATTGCCTAGGATTGCTTTTGCTATATGGGGTCTTCTCTGGTTCCATACAAAGCATAAAATTATTTTTTCTATATCTGTGAAAAATGACAATGGTATTTTAGTAGGGACTGCATTGACTGTGTAGATCACTTTGGGTAGTACACACATTTTAACAATGTTGATTCTGCCGACCCATGAGCATGGTAGTGGAACAGAACAGAGAACTCAGATGTAAAACCATCTTTATATAGCCATCTAATCTTTGAAAAAG